GCAGAGGCTGAGAGTGAGTTAAGAGTGTCAGAAGTTTATTGGGTAGGTAAACTCCTGGGAGACGTCGAGAGAGGGAAGGAGAATTGGACAGGGAAAACTTCAGACGATGATACACATTTCATACCTGTGAAAAGAAATGGCTGGGTGAGGGGGAGATACAGAACTGAGCAGGGAGAGTGTGCAGATGGATGGTGATGCAGATATGACATCTCTAAAGGGGGCAGAAAGTAGGATTGGGCAGAAAGAACCTGAGACCACAATGCAGATCTGACAAAGTTTCAGCCAACCCAATGGTGAGCTCCGGAGCAAAGATTGCCTGTTAGAGGAGTCCCATGTTGGGCAGAAAATGGACAGGTCCTAGTACCCCTGCCACGCTCAGTCATTGGCTGGAGGATGCCCAGAAAGTGAATCTTGGTTAAAACACTGCAGTGGGGGTGCCTGGGTATCTCAGTCGGTGAAGCGTCTGCCTTCGACTCAGGTCATGATCCCGGGGTCCTGGGATTGAGCCCCGCATCGGGCTCCCTGCTCAGCGGGGAGTCTGCTTCTCCCTCTGCCTCTGCCGTTCCCCCTGCTCATGCTCTCTCTCTCTCTCTGACAAATAAATAAATAAAATCTTAAAAAAAACCCCACCGCAGTGGATCCTGAAGGTGCTGCAGCTGGAGGCTCTCAGCTACCTTCACTCCTTGCAGCTAAATGGCAAATTCTTTCTTGAAGGGAGAGCCCAGCAACGATCCTTCATGCCTGCTGCAGAGGACTGCCCCGGGAGTGCCACTAGCATGGAGGGTGGTGAAAGAATTTTTGAGAACTTGACACATGCCTCCTGGAATTTGGGGGCATCTGTGAACGTAGAGGATTCCCACTTCTCCCCCAGAGAATGCTGCAGGTGGAATAAAATAACCTACCACAGCAGGGTAAGGAGAGAAGGCACAAGTTGGGGGGGTGGAGAGGGGCTTGTTCTCTCATTGGTCGGCATGGGGAGGATGCTTGAGTTTCCCAAGAAACAAGTAGGTGCCTCAGAATGAAGCTGGACTCCAGCTGTTGTGAAGTTATCCTGCTTTCAGCAGGTAACCTGTTGAGGTGAGGGATCCCCAGTTAGTAAGAGGCCATGAGGTATATTATTAGGGATAGAAACTGAAAGAAGGTTGCAAGTAAATCAGCAAGAGAGCCCAGTGTTCAAACTGGGGAACTGTGCAGTGTGGAGATTTTTTTGGCATCTCTGAAGAATCCATCTATGTGTCCTCCTAACCTCTACCTCCTCCAAAAGCAAGCATTAGGAATACCTGCCACGCTGAGGACATCAAGGCCAGCCTATATTAGGCAGGAAAGAGCGACAAAAGAGACCAGATAAGTAAAAATAAAAACAAAAATGAAACATCAAAAACAAAACACTTGGGGACGCCTGGGTGGCTCAGTCAGTGAAGTGTCTGCCTTTGGCTCAGGTCATGATCCCTGGGTCCTGGGATGGAGCCCCACGTCGGGCTCCCTACTCAGCAGGAAGCCTGCTTCTCCCTCTCCCTCTGCCTCTCCCCCTGCTTTTTCCCTCTCTCTCTCTCTGACAAATAAATAAAATCTTAAAAAAAAAAAGGAAAACAAAACACTTGGCTCCTTTTCTCTAACCCCCCACCGCCCCTTACTCTAGGGGACCCAGAAGCAGCTGAGCGAGGGGAAGGAGAATAAAAGAGCAGTAGAGGTCAGGCCTAACCTGGGATGGGAGAAGACACTGTTTGAGCGGAGTGGTTGGAGACAAAGCTTTTTTTTTTTTTTTTTTTTAAGATTTTATTTATTTATCTGACAGAGCACACAAGCAGGGGGAGCTGCAGGCAGAGGGAGAAGGACAAGCAGACTCCCTGCTGAGCAGGGAGCCCATCTTGGGGCTCCATCCCAGGATCCTGGGATCATGACGTGAGCCAAAGGCAGACGCTTAACCAACTGAGCCACTTTGCCCTGAGACAAAGCTTTTTTGTATTTACACTCCACCAAATTAAAAATGTTCAATAAATCAGGGGTGCCTGAGTGGCTCAGATGGTTAAGCATCTGCCTTCAGCTCGGGTCATGATCCCAGGGTCCTGGAATCGAGCCCCACGTCCGGCTCCTGGGGAGCCTGCTTCTCCCTCTGCCTCTCCCCCTGCTCATGCTCTCTCTCTCTCTCTGTGTGTCTTGAATGAATAAATAAAATCTTTTAAAAAAAGTTCAATAAATCAATTATATATCCATAGATCTAAATATACATTGGAAAAAATTGGAAAAGATACATATCAAACTGTTGTTTATGGTAATTACTAGGGATTTAGGGGAAGTTATGGGTGGGGCACAATTTTATTTTTTACTTTATATGCTTCTGTATGAGTTTTATTTCATCAAGCACTAATTAGTTTTAAAGTAAAGAAAGTAAGTTAAGTAAAACAAGTTGTTTGAAATGAACTAACTGAAAAGTATTTGATTGAGAGTTAATTTATTGTACACATTCATGAAGCTCAATGGATCTCAAGGAGGATAAACATAAAGAGAGCGACAGATACACACAGCATAGTAAAATCCATTCTCTATATTTTTTGAGTTTTTTTAAGTGGTTGTTAAAAGGTTTATCCTCAAATTCTGGGAAGATGGCAGCTTGAACAAATGTCCATGGCATACTTTCTACTCAATTCTGCCTAAGAATAACACAACAGCCAATGTAGGCAAGGTGACGGAGCCTGGAAGCTGCATCTAAGGCCATATTTCTTTTAGGATCCTCTAGTGGGGATGAAAAACAGATTCAAGCCAAGGTCATGCTCTTCTTGGGCAGCCTCCAGCTGCTAGTGCCTGACCATTTTTGCCCAATGTGGGATACTTCAAATAAGAGATCTTTGCTCCGGAGTTACTTCTTCGGTTGGCTGAGAGTTACTTCTTCGGTTTGATCACCTTAAATCGGGGTGAGAGTCAAGGGATAGTGGTAGAGGACAGGGCATATCTGTTGGAAACCTGGGATAATGACAGTGATTTTGTGGTTCTCTGAGGAAGTTCAGCCTGCCCTATGAAGCCTGGTCCTGCCTACCTGCTTTCCTGAGGTCCTACAGGGGCCTGATTCAGCTGACCATGGTGGACCTCCAAGAAAACGAATCTGTTGGTTTGAATTGCTACGGTTGGAAGAGATTTCCACTTGTATTCAGGGAGACATGGGACAGAGAGGCTTCCTCCCTGTGCCTCACAAAGGCATAATGGCTCTTCATCTAGTTTATTTCTGACCCACAAAAGCAAAAACTACTTAACTTTCTACCATTCACTACCATTTACCACTGCTCAAGAGATGCTAATTGCCTGCCCTAATTGCTAAGGAGTCAAAATCACAAGAAGGCAAAGAGAAATAACCCATTTAAGGAAAATGATTAACTAGAGGGAGGAAGACTAACTTGAACAATTAGACAGGTGGCTCCCATTAATGTAGAAAGGAAGAGTCAGAAGGGAATTATTAAATAATTAAACAAATTAATATTTGTAAAATGTTTAGAACAGTTCCTGTCATATACATGTTTGTTAAATAATAAACTATAACAAGAAGTAATGAGAATGCCCAAGGATATGGAATCGGAGCACAAAAAAGACCCTGTAGAACTAGAAAGTATGATTTCAGAAATTCAAAAATTCAGAACAAAAATCTTGCAAGCTTCCAAGCAGAAAGAACACATTCTGGAGGCATTGGTGGATGGTTGGAGGCAGGGAATACGGAGAAGCCAGAGTATTTCTTCACTTCCTTCTGGGCCTCAGATAGCATCGCTAGTAGTGATTACAGCTCCTCTGTAGCCCCAGCACCTACCAGACAGGCTTCCACTGAGTAACCCTGGCCCCTGGGCTCCAGTAAAACCACTTCCTGCCTTTGACACCCGCCCCCAGCCTAGGGGCAGTAGATGCTCCCTGCCTTTCTTAATCTCTGGGCTGTCCCTTATTGTCCCCTCTTTGGTTTATCAATTTTTCCATTATCTGTGTAAACCATTCCCTGTATTTTTATATTCCCTCTATTTTATTTATTTATTTATTCATTCATTCATTCATTTAGTGATCTCTACACCCAACATGGGGCTCGAACTCATGACCCCAAGATCAACAGTCACATGCTCTTCCAACTGAGCCGGCCAGGTGCCCCGTATAGCCCTCTATTTTATTTTATTTTTTATTTTTTTAAAGATTTATTTATTTATTTGAGAGACACACAGAGAGAGTGCAAGCAGGTAGCGGGGCAAAGGGAGAGGGAGAGAGAGAATCCTAAAGGAGACTCCCCGCTGAGTGCAGAGCCCGACATGGGGGGCTTGGTTCCAGGACCCCGAAATCATGACCTAAGCTGAAACCAAGAGTCAGATGCTTAATTGACTGAGCCACCCAGGCACCCCTCCCTCAATTTTAAATACTCAGAGCTGTTTCTATTTTCTGGTTGGACTCTGACTGACACTCTTACAAAGGAAAATAAACCAGGATTAGAGGTTTTTTCTTACAAGGCTATTTTTTTTAAAAGAGTTTATTTATTTATTTGAGAGAGTGTGAGAGTGTGAGTGAGAGAGCCCGAGTTGGAGGTGGGGGGCAGAGGGAGAAGCAGAGACCCACTGAGCCGGGAGTCTAATGCAGGGGCTCGATCCCAGGACCCTGAGACCATGACCTGAGCTGAAGGCAGATGCTTAACTGACTGAGCCACCCAGGTGCCCCAGCACTAGAGTTTTAATATATGACACAGAAAGCTGGAAAACACTGGAATACCATCTATAGAATGTTGGGAGTAGAGGATTGCTGGCTGACAAACCTATACCAGGCTTTGACAGGCTGCTTCTAAAATGGCTCCCAGTAATCCTCACCTCCTGGTATTCACTCTCTGTATAATTCCCTCTTCTTGTGTGTGTGTTGGTCCTCGTGACTTGCTTATCACAGACTATGGCAAAAATGATGGGATGTCACTTTCATAATTAGGTTGTGAAAAATTGTGGCTTCTGTTCTGCTTATGTTCCCTCTCCGGCTGTTCTTGTACTCTGATGTAGAGAGCCATCTGGCAAAAAAACTGAGGACCTCAGTCCAACAGCCAGCGAGGAACTGAATCCTGCCAAAAACCATGTGACTGATCTTGGACATGGATCCTGTCCCAGCTGAGCCTTGAGATAAGACTGCAGCCCCAGCTGATAATTGATGGCAGCCTGTGAGAGACCCTGAGTGGACACATTTATGGAAATCCTGAGAGATTGTTAAGTAGATGACTCAGTTAGGCCATGCTATTCCTGACCCGTAGAAACAGTGAGATCATAAATGTGTGTTGCTTAAGCTAAGTTTTATTTTTTTTAAAGGTGGAATTCAAGATTAAAAGCACTAAACAATACAAAAAGGGGCATAAATTGTTCGGTCTTTAATGAAGAGATGAGCCATAAACCTTTATGTACTAAATTGTTACAGCAGCTTAAGATTTAAAACAAAACTCTTAGAAACACAAGAAGATTTTGATAAAAACCACAACCATAATGGGAGATTATAATATACTTCCTTCAAGGGCGCCTGGGTGGCTCAGTTGGTTAGGCGACTGCCTTCGGATCAGGTCATGGTCCCAGGGTCCTGGGATCGAGTCCCGCATCGGGCTCCCTGCTCTGCGGGGAGCCTGCTTCTCCCTCTCCCACTCCCCCTGCTTGTGTTCCCCCTCTCGCTGTGTCTCTCTCTGTCAAATAAATAAATAAAACCTTTAAAAAAAAAATATATATATATATATATATATACTTCCTTCAAAACTTAACTGATCAAGTACACAAGAAATAAGCTAGAAAATAGATAATTTGGAGGCACCTGGATAGCTCAGTCTTTTGAGCGACTAACTCTTGGTTTTGGCTCAGGTCATGATCTCAGGGTCATGGGATTGAGCCCCCTGTTGGGCTCCACGTTCAGCGAAGAGTTGGCTTGGGATTCTCTCTCCTTCTTCTTCTGCCCCTCCCCCCTGCTCGTGCTTGCTAAGTAAGTAAGTAAGTAAATAAATAAATAAATAAAATCTTAAAAAAAGAAAATAGGGCACCTGGGTGGCTCAGATGGTTAAGCGTCTGCCTTCAGCTCAGGTCATGATCTCAGGGTCCTGGGATCGAGTCCCGCATCGGGCTCCCTGCTCCTTGGGAGCCTGCTTCTCCCTCTGCCTCTCTCTCTCTGTCTCTAATGAATAAATATATAAAATCTTAAAAAAAAAAAAAAAAAAGAAAATAGATGATTTTTTTTTAAAGATTTTATTTATTTATTTGACAGAGAGAGACACAGCGAGAGAGGGAACACAAGCAGTGGGAGTAGGACAGGGAGAAGCAGGCTTCCCGCCGAGCAGGGAGCCCGATGCGGGGCTTGATCCCAGGACCCTGGGATCATGACCTGAGCCGAAGGCAGATGCTTAACAACTGAGTTACCCAGGCGCCCCAAAAATAGATGATTTGATTAATATAACCAAAAAGCTTAATATATGACTATATATATATATCCATATGCATCTAAAAATGTAAATTTTTTCTAATGTCCATTAACTGTGCTTCATCACAGAGGAAAAACTTCATAAATTTAACAGAAAATAATTTTTTTTAAGATTTTATTTATTTATTTGACAGAGAGAGACACAACGAGAGAGGGAACACAAGCAGGGGGAGTGGGAGAGGGAGAAGTAGGCTTCCCACCGAGGAGGGAGCACAATGCAGGGCTTGATCCCAGGACTCTGGGATCATGACCTGAGCCGAAGGCAGATGCTTAACGACTGAGCCACCCAGGCGCCCCGAGAATTCTTTTTTTAAGTAAGTTCTACACCCAACATGGGGCTTGACCTCACAACCCTGAGATCAAGAGTCACATGGTCTACTGACTGAGCCAGCCAGGCACCCCTAAGAGAGGAGATTTTAGAGGCTGCATTTTCTCATTGTCATCCAGTGAAATTAGAAATAAATAATAAAAGATGGTCAAAATATCTTTACTAGTTAGAAATTGAAGAACATCAATTTAATCCTAGATTAAAGAGAAAATAAAAACAGAACTCATAAAAAGTTTAGGAAGTAACAAAATATGGATATACCAAATTCTATGGGATCACCTAAAACTTTATTTAGAAGAAAATTTACAGTTCCGGGGCGCCTGGGTGACTCAGTCAGTTGGAGTATCTGCCTTCGGCTCAGGTCATGATCTCAGGGTCCTGGGATGGAGCCCTGCATCAGGCTCCCTCTGCTGCTTCCTCTGCTGCTCCCCCTACTTGTACTCTCTCACTCTCGCTCTTTCTCACATAAATAAATAAATGAAATCTTAAAAAAAAAAAAAAAAAACTTTCTAAAAAAAAAAGGAAGAGAATTCACAGCTTTAAATCAGGAATCACAAAAGTCTAGGTAGGTCATGGAGATGTACCAAGTGGCTAGATATAAAAGTGGAGGTGGGGCCTATGGAGACTTAGCAGGGACATGACTGCCCTGAAAGCACTGGAGTCCACCAGTCTGTGATACCCCCTTTAAATGCTTTTCGTATTAACAAAGAAAAAGGGCACCTGGGTGGTTCAGTCGTTAATCGTCTGCCTTCGGCTCAGGTCATGATGTTGGGGTCCTGGGATCGAGCCCCACATCGGGCTCCCTGCTCTGCGGGAAGCCTGCTTCTCCCTCTCCCATTCCCCCTGCTTGTGTTCCTGCTCTCGCTGTCTCTCTCTGTCAAATAAATAAAAATTAAAAAATATATATAAAAAAGATTTTTAAAAAACCAAGGGAAAAAATGGAAAATATGGAAACGAATCAACTAAAAACACAGTGGCAAAGCTGCACAATTATCTAAAAACATAAACGGCATTAATAAAGATAAAGCTAAAAAAATTAGTGAAACAGAAAATTGTCACAGGTTGGGTTCCCTGGGAAACAGATGCTGAGGAGGAAAGGATCCAAAAGGTTTATTGAGGAGTAAGGTCTGTGAAGCAGAAGAGGCAGGGCATGTTGGCGGCCCTGCAGACCTGACAAAGTCTCTGCCAGCTCACTGGAGCTGCACAGCAAAGATGTTCCAAGGATCCCACATTGGGCAGAAAAGGCTATGCCCCAGTCCTCCCACCTTGCCCGGTCATTAGCCGTGGACATCCCAAGAGCAGTGTGACCCTCAGCTCAAAATCTGAGGTGGACTCTGAAGGTCCTAACGGCTGCCGGCACTCTTTGCGGCTGGGCAGTTAGTCCTTTCTGGAAGCGGGCTCTGAGTGTTGCCTCTCTGCCACAAAAACAATAAAAAGTGGTATAAAAAATTAATAAAACCTCAATAAAACCAAAAGCTGGCTTTAAAAAAATTAATTCAGTTTATTAAAGCTTCCGCCTTTTGTGGCAGAATTTGCAAAATTGTGCTGCAAGTGGAATCTATGGGCACAGATCTGCAAAGAGGGGACATTTAGACTATGTTGAATGGTATCAGGTAAAAACAAGTAGCCTTCAAAGCCCTGCGTTCCACAGTGGGGCCTTTAAGTCCCTCATCTTTTTAAACCAGCCTTCCTTCCACTGCTCTGTAAATAAGGAACTGATTTTTAATGATCTGAAATTAAGAAAAAGCTACCCCTCCTAGAAAACCAGAGAGGATCGTTGTATCAGGAAGGGCTTGGCTGGGACCTTGGACAGGGTATGTGAATGTGCCCTTGAATCCCTGAGGATTCAGAGATTTGGTGGACCCAGTTTGCCTCAACTGCCCAACTCCCTGAGATTTCCTGCCAGTTTCTGCACTGGCTTGACCGGCAAAATTCAAATGGGAAAACCTCACAGTCATTCCAGTTTTCTGGAGCTCCATGATAACATGTAGTAACAGCTGATAGGATGTATTCCACACATTGTATTATGGAATTTCTTCAAGGAATTGCTAAAATATATGGAGCTGATTGTTTTGTAGTACTCCTACATGTTTTACCTAGATTAGATTCTAGATTGTCAATAGATCCATTAAATGGCTCTGGAGACTTAGCACAGTAACTATTCAGAACATTTGATCAACCTCAGTGGCAGAAATGGAAGAAACTGCACTGTCCAGTATGCTGATCACTAGCCACATGTGACTACCGAGCACCCAAAATGTTGGTAATCCGACTGGAAATGTGCTAGAAGTGTAAATACATGCAGGATGTCAAAGAGTTGGTATGAAAAAGAAAAAGGAATGTGAAATATCTCATAATTTTCCATACTGATGAATATTGATGTATTTTGGATATATTAGAGAAAATACATTAAGGTTTATTTGACCTGTTTCTTTTAACTCTTTTTAATGGAGCTACTAGTATTTAAAATCACACATGCGGAGGTGCCTGGCTGGCTCAGTCGGAAGGACGTGGGACTCTTGATCTGGTCGTGAGTTTGAGCCCCACATTGGGTGAAAAGATTGCTAAAATAAATTTTTTTTTAAATCACACATGTAGCTCACATTTGGGACTTGCATCGTATTTCTATTGTACCGTGCTGCATGAGATATTTACTGTGAAGTTTCTTGAATCCCTGTTCTTTTAAAAAAATTATTTATTTTCTGAAATTCCAGTGTAATTAACATACAATTTGAATTCCTCTTCTTTCGACTCACTCGGAGTTTCAACTAGCACAGCAATGTTGGTAAACCCATCCTTCTGGCTTGCTAAGGCTTTAACTGTATAAAGGCTGATGTATGTCATTACTGTGTTCATCTTCAGTTCTCCATAATCTTTTGATTGATGGGGAGGTGATGTGAAGATATCCAGCGTCTATCCACAATGGAAAGTGCACACATCGAGAGAGGGGAACATGATGGGAAGGTCCTAAGCAGGGGCAGCAACAAAACAACAAAACCCGCATTAAGTTATCCTGCCCCGCGTGTGATAATGGTTCCAGCGAGTCCTTTTGTTGACCGACCTGTGAAGGCCAACCTTCTAGGTGTGCATTCAGCTGAGATTCTGCGGCTGTGTACCACTGTGTACCGCCCGGGCACTCGGCTGGACATCTGGTGCAGGAGGATGAACCGAGCGGCGGCCGGGCAGTGCGGCTGGAGCGGCTCCAGGAGGGCCCAGGCACCGCGAGCCCGGCAGGGAGGGGGGGTGGTGGCGGAGAAGGAGGAGGAGGAGGTGGCGGAGGCGGCGACAAAGGAGGAGGTGATAGCATCCGGGGCCGCGACGCCGGAAGATGGGGCGGGCTGCTGCTTCCCTAAGCCCGGAAAACCCCGGCGTCACCGCTTCTGCGCGGCGGAGCCGATTCCCCGGAGCCGCCACCACCGCCCTGTCGCCTCCGCTGGGAGTGACCGGGTCCCCGGGCTCCGCGTTCACGCGCCTCCCGCCTGACTCGGAGTTGGGCTTGCCCGCCCGCCCGCTCCCCAAAGCCGAGCTGTTTGGAAAGGACCAATAAAATAAATCAAACTCTTGGCTAGCCAGACTAAGGTAGGAAGGAAGAAAAGGAGGAAGGGGAGGTAAAATATTAGTAATGACGTTGTGGATAAAAACAGATCTATATTAAAAGACTTTAAAGAGAATCTCGTGTGAAACGAATGTGAATATACAGAAGGAATGCTGGATTTCCTGGCAAACTATAAGCTACCAAAATTGGCCCAAGAAGGAGAAAACCGGAAGAGAGCAGTAACTGTAGAAGAGAATGGGAAGTCAGCAGGTCCGGGTGCTTTCGTAGCGAAGTCCTAGATAACCTTTAAGAAACAAATAATTTTAATGTCATTTGGTCCCTTCTAGACAAGTGTTTTTCAAAACATCTGTAGTGAAGGACCCGCTTTTAAAAAATTTTACAATTATTGTGGATATATACTTTTGTAAAAGTTAATAAGAGTATTAGAGAAATGAAATAAGCAAAGTGCAAGCGCAATTTTTAAATTTTAGTATTCATCAGAAATAAATTACATTTCATTAAATATAATCAAAACCAATTTAACATAGGGACAAAAAAGTAATTACAAAAATGGCATGCATTGTTCATGGATGAGTCCAGCGATCACTGCTTGGATGTCATAGCAATGTCTAATTGCTATTAAGATTTCTAGGGGCACCTGGGTGGCTCAGTCGTTAAGCGTCTGCCTTCGGCTC